TTTCACAACTGGCAACTATCTCTTGAAAATGTCAGTATCAGAAAATGGAAAACGTCTAATTTAAATAATGCATGAGACAGCAGTAAATCTCCAAGGCAGAAACAGAATCTCTTTGTATGGCAAGCCATTTGTATCTCAAAATGTTCTCATGTTATGCTAAAACCTTCATTGTAAGGAAATGTCATTTGCAGTACTACTGACTCAATCTGTGGGTGGTCCTCTGTTTTTTGTTAATATTTTTAAATTAACTATGAAACATCGTAAAAGATACTTGTACTGTATGAAAGTATTTCTGTAAAAATGTGGAAAGCCATTACCTAATGAAAAAGGAGAGATATTTGGTTATGATTGGTTAGAAATCCCATTGTATGTTAAATATATTTTATTGATAAAAATATCTATGATTAAAATTGCAATCTTTGAAATTGGTACTTGGAATTAAGATATCAGATCCCACTTGCTACTTATGCCAGTGGTTTTGAAGGTTGGCATTTCCTAATGTTAGAAAAGCTAAGAAAAAGAGCATAGCAGAAAATGGGTTATGGAGCTGCTGGATGATTAAGCTCTCTGACTTTTTTCACCAAACCACAACCTGAAGGGGCGGAGAGTGGCAGCATATTTGGCACTAAAATATATTGAAAATGAAAGTTATTGCTATTCATCTGGACTATCAGAAGGCATTGTAGTGATTGATGTTTTTGAAGGTTACTTCTCAGAGTTATTATTGATCTTTGAAATCTGCAAGGAAGCCACATTACTACAAGTATAGAATAAATAACTTAGGAAAATATTAGGGATCAGTTGGTTGATGCTGGGGCCGGGTACAAAGGGCCTTGAAAGAAAAAGATGTTGATAAGAATACAGAAAAGCTGACAGAAAAAATGAAGATAAAACATTTAAGATATTTAAAAATATTTTAACTTGGGTAGAAACAAAGTCTGTAACAAATCAACATTTGTTTATAAAGTCACAGATCTATACTAGGACAATCACTGTAAATTATTGTAGAATAACCTGAGTTCAGAATGTAATGTTACTATTAAATTATTAATTCAAAAATAGTATCTTGAAATTCTTGGTCCACAAAAATACCTTATTTAAAAACTACAGAGGTCAAGTAACAAGAGAAACGTTCACCAAGTCCTGTATTCAATTCAACCTTTTTAAAAGAAAGCATGTCCTTGTTATTTGACATTATACCTCAAGGCAAACAAGCAGGGTGGAGCTGTTCTTACACCTCCTCTCTATGGGAAAAACAGATTACTAAACAGTAGCGCATAGAAACATTTAATTCTGAGCTAACAACCGGTTTCAACTTATAACAATTGCTCTGTTTACCATTATGTTTTATTTTTAGCCTCTGACCTATAAGTTTGGCTTTGAGTAGAAAATTAAAATTAAATGGAAGACATCAGGAGAAAGGAGATAGCAGAATAAGAAGGGGACAATCAGTTGAAGCCTCTCTTTTTAAAAAAAAAATCCTCCATGTATCAAAATTTATAAACAATAAAATACCTCTAAAGTAATTAAAAGAAACCAGACAGAAAATATTAAAGAGTATGTTACAACTGAAAATCCTTTAACAGGGGTTAACTCGCAAATGGGTGTAAAGTAAATTGCATTCGATTGGTGAACCACTGGTCAATTTATGGTAAACCATCTGGAGTCTGCGGTTACTGGGATTTACGCCAATAATTATGAATTTTACTGGACTCACTGATTTCCAACAAGCCACTTCGTAGGCTATTAAATAGGAATGTAGAGTCAATCTCATTTAGCATTATGTTTTAACTATAAAAAAATCTTGATGCTGGATGTGCACATTTATTTATTTAATTTAATCAATTTTTATTGCCACTCATCTCAGCCAAGTGACTCTGAGTGACCCACAATACTGAAACTATAAAACAGTTAAAACAATTTAAAACAATAAAAATATCAACAAAATAAATACATACAGCAGCCAAGGCAGTTAATCAACAGTAAAGCCCAAAAAAACAGGACCCTTAACACACTGGTTTAACCTAATTGCTGTTTGCATGTTTGCAGCTCAATATATTAGATGAATCTAGCCAGTGTAGTGTGACTAGTTTACCATATAATGGACTGTGTAAACCCAGGCAATTGGATTAATTTATAAGATATGATTCAATTAACTATGGGTTAGTGGAGAGTGAGGACATAGCTTAAAAACTCACTCTTGTTTTTTAAATTCAAAAAAGAAAGTAAGTTGGTGGGCCCAAAGCTTTTGTTTAAAAGTGAACCATTAAAACTGGGGGTGGGGGGGTGGGGTGGAATCTACTGACCCAGACTTAAATTATTCTTTCCATAGAGTTTCTAGGTCTTAAATAATTGGTAGTTTAAAGAAAAACGGTTATTGTTGAGCCTGATAATATATACATATACACCAAGACCAACACCCATGGCTGAAGAACTTAAAAGATGAGTACAGTATGTGAGATCCTAAGAATGGATCAACGCGTTAATATGTCACATTGTGGAATGAGTGAAACAGAAATTTAAAGCTTCAACAGTGAGGGATCATCATGTCTTAAAACTTAAGTGTCTATAATCTGCCACAAAGCCAGATTGCTGAAATGCTGTTTTTATTTAAAACAAAAATAAAATAAATTCTGGGAAGAACTGTATATATACATATCTATCTAGGTTAAGCTAGAGAAGTTAATAAGTTTGATAACAATAAAGATTATTTATGGTATAAATGACATCTGGGAAATGCCACACATTATATGATATATCACCCAAACTTATTGAACCAAAATGTTTCATAACAAAAGTGCTATTCTATTTAATGTGATCCTAAAATCTGGCTGGTGGGATCTAGGAGAAGAGCTGGAACATCATACTTCTCAAGATGAGATATGCCCCCGCCCTCTTGGCCTTCTGAAAGGGCCTTAAAATTGGGCTCTGTCAGAGGCCTAGATGGACGCATATCAACCATTACTGTGTTAAATACAAGTTCCCACTTTCACTTTATTAGCTATTTTAGCTATTTCTCTATTGATTTTAATGTTATATTTATTGCTTTACTGTTTTAATCTTTTAATATAATCTATCAGATTGTAAATTGCCCAAAGTTGCATGACTGCAAGATGGGTGGCATATAAATTTAATTAATAAATAACAAAATATGCTACCCTCCCACAATGTTTTTTGCTTCAAGTTTCTTTTCTTAGGATACAGCAATTAAATTTTACACAAGACACAAAAGTTTTCCCATAGTTTGAAAAATATTTTGTCTTTTTGTTCTTGTTCTATAGTTCCGTTCTTATATTCTTAATAGCACGCAGGTATTCCTTCAGAGTTATGAGTGATCTTGAGGAATAAGCACATATAAGCCAAACAACTCTTTTACCCCTGCTCAAAAATGGCGCTCTTGGTTACTGTGCATTGATTACTTCTATCTCAAATAATTTGTTCTGTTGATTTTACCAATACAACTAAGGGAAGTGAGCTGCCATTAAAGATTGTTCTAAACACTCTGTTGGAGAGAAGTTCCCTGAAGATGGGCTCCAGCAGCACAAGTCTGAAAACTCTCTTGGAAGACTAAACCTCTGATCCCGTGGACTGATCCAGATTGGATCCTGTTCTAAATTAGCTCTTTGCAACAAAGCAACTATTCTTGCTTATTTTTCCCCCCAAATCTATTTTATGATTTTGTTCTGTTACACACAATAAACTGGATTCTTTCATCCCAACAAAAACTGCTTGTTCTTAAGAATATTTAAGCTAAAATCTGCTCCGTTTTTATGCTGAGATCATGAGCAAAATGCTCTCTTGATTTCTCTTGCAATCCACTTATCATTTTTGTTTCTACTTATTTCAGAGTTCCAATCATTTTTTCCTCATAAAACAATTCAAGACAAAACTTCTCTAGAGCCCTTAAACTACTGTACTTGCAAAGCTTTCTCATCTAGCTGAAGAAAAAACACATTCCACAGGATGAGCATTATTTAAAAGTATGCATAGTAATTACACAATTAATCTTTTTTGTCACTGATAAAGACAGGCTGAATGCCCAAGTAATGAGACACATTTGATTACAGATGCTATCATAATATAACCCTGTTAAGACATGGAAGTCATAAATAATACTAATGTTACTATAGATAACTTTAACCATACATTTAGAATTTGATATTTATGGATGTTGTGTCTCTCTATGCTCTGTCATTCAAATTACAAAGTTGTGTTAAGTGGGGACAGAGGGAGCAGGATGAATTGGTGATGGTCAGAGAGGAAGAAGAGCAAAGGATATGAATAGGAGCCAGATTCTATGCCAAAGGTTCATTTGTGGACCAAATACATATTCTGAAAGTTCTCTACAGTCAAACCTATGTACAGACCAGTCTCCAACCTTGGCAACTTTAAGACTTGTGGACTTCATCTCCCAGAATTCCTCAGCCAGAAATCCACAAGTCTTAAAGTTGCCAAGGTTGAAGACCCCTGGTACAGAGAATAGCTGCTTTCCAGAAGCAATCATTGATACTTTCTAAAAATTGAAATCCTCTTTGAGCTGCTGAAACTGTTCAGAAAAGAAGCCTGTTGCAATTGTCTATCCAGTTCAGGGCAAAAAAGGAATACAAAACAACAGCTGGCTAAATTCACCTTGGGCTATAACAAAAGGTTTAAGCAACCTTTTTTGAGCAACTACTGAGATCTAATTCACTCAATTATAAACCATGTTTCACAGGTCCACCATTTTTGTTGTTTTGACCATGTCCTTTACTTCTAGTATATCAAGTATATGTGTAGTATGCTCACATGTGCTTATACAAATGTGAAATATGCATAGAATTCCCGGAGAAATTGGAATTACATTTCCAATATTAATTTTAGTTGGAATTGGCAACCCTAGGGTTTCTTTCTGAGGGTGATTTATTCTTCCTTTGAGAAAATGTCTTAATTCCCATTTTTGTTCTTCCTTTCAGATTAATGTGATATCCCATCCCAACCATAATAAATCCAGGTGTTCTTACCTTCAAGCGTTTCTCCTTGTTTAGAAAGAGCCTCTCCTGCTCCAGATGCATAAAGGGCAGTTACTGACAAATCATATTTTGTTCCTGGTTCCAAGTTAGTGAGAGTTGTACTGGTGGTGTCCTCCCTTACGGTTACCTCTTTAGGTTCACCTCCAATCACTGGAGTATATGTGACAAGATATTGCTGCACTTTACCAGGTGCTGAATTCCAGGATAATTTTAATGAGGATGTTGTAGCATCTGAAACTGTCAAGTCTCTTGGTCTTCCAAGCACTATATAGGATAAATAATTAAAAAAAACACCTTAGAAGCAAACCAACAAAACCATTCCAAGAACAATTTTCTATCTGTGAAATATTGGTGAAACAAATTACTATGATACCATTACTTTTTATAATACAATCAAACAATTCAATGAACTAATTGGATGGGTGGGGTAACCACTATTCCCAAATGTTTTAAATCCAACAGTAAGTCATCAGCGTAATTTGTATAATAAGAGGTCATTACACAAACACATAAATTGATGTGTGATTTTAATTTGTATCATTTGCATAATGAGCTCAACACCGGAGACATGTTGAAATATATAAAAGGTGAAAATTAAGAAACATTTAAGTGTCTCATCTGGACTTTTCTATTATTTTAGATGGAATTACCAAATGGAAATTTGGTCCTTTGTACCTGAAGTCTTTAAATGGGGTCTGCTAAATTAGGTTTTCTTGGATAAGCACGAGGTACCATAGAATTGGTAATTTAGGGTCAGACAAACAACACAGTAATTCTTGAAGACCATCGCTGTCTACCTCAAGTATAGAATTAGTGTACTGGACATCATGACCCAAACTCCAACTCTTCTGTACAGTACTTGTGTGCAGTGTTACAATGCAAGTACAAAAGAGAAAATATTTCATTATTTTGAAATCATTGTGATTAGGAAGATTTCTTGGCTAAAAGCTGCAAAAGAGTATAAGAAATAGGGATCTTCTTGGCCATTGGAATGAAATTTAAGACATACAGATAGATACTATTGCTAAAAAGAAGTGTGCCTCTACAAAGAACCTGGATTCAGAGATTGGTAAAGACATGTAGATATTTGTGCCTTAATGTATACTAATTAACACACTCAAGATGAGACATGTCAAGCAATTATTCTACATGCTGCCAATGAACGAGTGAAATGTATCATAGCTTTCTATTACAATGAAGATAGGCTAGTAGATTTTTATTGTTGTATGCTATATGAAAATACATTTGAGTGCAAAAACCGGGTGTTGGTTATCTACCTTCTTCTGTTTTTCCCTGTCCATCCAATGGATTTCCAACTCCAGACAAGTACTCAGCAGTTAAGGAAACTTCATATGTTGTATCAGGCATCAGATTATGTAGAGTGGTTGCCCTTTCATTTGCTGGGATGGTTACTTGTTTTGTTTCCCCACCAGTAACCGGCCTATACGCAAGTCTGTATCTGAGAACATTCCCTGGAGCTGGTGACCATCCAACTTTAAAACTATCCGTTGTTTCATCAGTTACTTTCAGGTTTCGTGGAGATCCTATGACTAAAAATATTTTTCCAAAAGATCGTAAGTATTAGCCCCATATTTTTATTCATCTCAAAATAAATATACAAATAAAATCTTGCTAGGTTATATGATTGTATTATTCTGTTCATGCTTTAACACCTTTTGCCAGTGCTTTGTAATATGGACAGTATCCAACTATAGAATTACCTTCCTATGGAAGTATAATTGGGGCTGTATCGAAACTATTTATTTCCGCAGGAATTTTACATTGGTGAGTTACTTCCATTTAATGAATTTCCTGTCTTTCAAATTTTGTGTTCACTGCATTGTTGTCAATGTGCTTCTAGGTGTAATTCAAGATACTGGTTGTCATTTTAAAGTCCTTTATGGCTTGGGACTGTGTTACTTGAGGGACCATTTCCCCCTATTGTTACTACCTATCCAATTTGGTCTGGCAGAATGGATATGCTTCAGGTCCTGTCAGCCAAGAAATGTTGACTGGTGGGGGCTAGGAAACATGCCTTCTCTGCCTTAGCCCTTCCCTCTGGAACATTATCCCTCTAAAGATAAGGAAGGCCCCAAACCTGCTGTCTTTTCAGAAGGTCTTGAAGACCAGTCTACACGTTAGAAGGTCTTGAAGACCAAGTTAAGTATGTGAAGGGTCCTGTTTGCTGGTTATGTTGACACAGACAAATTACAGTATCTCTTGGCTGCTATTTGTATTTAATAACTTTTTGTATTGTGTTTTAACTATTTTAATTGTTTTTAAAATTGTTTGTTGTCCAGAGTCACTGGTTTGACATGGGTGGCCAAACAAATAGAATTCATATTTGCTCATTTTTGTAGATGATCTTAGTATCTGCAGATGAAGGACAGATTTAATAAGTAATTGATAGTTAAATCATTCATCAAAACAGATGAAGCACATTCCAAAATATTGTTTCTTGATATTCATTTGTGGTTTTATTATTTTTTTAAAGTACAATAAAACCCTGATTTAACTAACCATTCAGGGAAAAGTAGCATCCGTTATAGCCCAACATTCATTAAATATGGATTTATATAATTTGTGACATCTATTGAAGCAAATGATATAAATCAATTACAAAAATGATATATATTTATAATAAAATTACATGAATCATCTAGAGAACTTTGGATATAATGAATTTCATTAGTTATTTGAACAGATATCTGGACATAGATTTTATCTATTGCATCCAAAATTCACTAAATCAGAGTCCAAAGTTTCATTGTACTACAAAAAATACCTACTATATGCTAGAGATGAGGAAAAAAGAAGGAATTGATTAAAGACTTTATAGCATTCTAAAAACTTAATAGTAAGATATATAAAGAGTTTAATAAAATATCAACATGCAGGATTAATAAGGTATAAATGACAAAGACAAGTGAATGTTCTGATAAAAATCTAATGTAAAATAGTTTCTGTTATCACATGGAGTTATTTTTCAAATTATCGTTATATGTTCTGTAGTTCTGTGAATGTTAAATTGTTTTATCATAATGATGCTCAAATTGAATACACACACACACACGTCACAGATGCAATGTATTATCTTTAAAATAAGGAATTACACCCAAGAACTTTAAATATATATTAGAACTATAATCTCCTTCTTTTTATTCTCAGTCTAATTTAAAAATATATTATTGTATGCATAATTTATTTTATTGATAACTGTATTTACTTCACACTAATTCAGTTTCTTTGAAATAAATCCATTATATATTGTTCCATGCTTTTCTTCTGTTCATAAGGCAATGGGAAAGTTTGTTGCCATTTCTCACTTAACAATATATTTTTTCCTCATATGACCTCTTAGCTATTACCTAGGCACAATAAAATTGGAATTCATACATAATTCAGTCTCAACTGCTGGTGTTGTTCGGGAGCAACCACATTAACTTGATAAGAAACATTTGTATGTTAGGATTTAAGGAGGACAACAGAATCAAGGCAACAGGAAAGATACCTTCTAAAGTTGTTTCGTTCCCATCCAGTGAAGGCCCGTCACCATCTTCATATTCTGCAATCACACTGACAGAATATGTAGTTTTTGGTAGTAAATTAGTAAGGACCGTGTTAGTAACTGGAGCACGTACAGTAACACTGACTTCCTCTCCACCAAGAGCCTCTTTATACTTGATAAGGTAAAACAAAACATTTTCTCCTGCTGGAGACCAGGTAACTTTGAAGCTGTTAGAAGTAACTTCAGAAAACTCCAAGTTCCTTGCAGGTAAGTGAGCTGTTAAAAAATAACAGTTTAGTAAGCAAAGCACAGTTAGATAAATATTTTAAATTGCAGAGATATGTGTGGAAAAGCTTGAATTCTCTGTGTAGTAAAGTCTATATGGGGGGAAAAGTGATTTCTTTATGTAGTAAAGTTTTGTTGAGCTTGCTTGCTTGCCAAGCTACCCATATCTTAAATAAAAACACGAATCTGACTAATCTTACTTTAAAAAATAGGAATTCAATTTTTTTTCTAGCTAGTATGTTTCATATATACTAGACAACAAGCACAGGATGACCTTTGAGCAGTGAAAAACACAAGATAATTGCATTAAAGCAAAAATAAGCTAAAACTCAATTAGAACACAAACCATTAGACATAATACATTCATGCCAGAGGTCCCCAGCTAACATCCCACCCATTGCCTGGAGGAAAACCCAAGTCTTCATGATCATCTACACTGGATTAAGTACCTATTAAGACAGAGGATGTACTCAATAAGTTTAACTGATATGCAGACTTCAGGAATATTCAATTATTCAAGAAAACAAGACAGAGTAATATTTCTGTGAAAGAGGCACAGCATACTCTACTTAAATAAATAACAGCAAACCCCCCACTTCCCTCCAAAAAATCCAATTATTTGAAACGAACAGTAGTATCACAGTAATGAAGAATCAACCATCTAGCACAGTGCTAATATGAGTCTATTCCATTCTGATCTCAAATGAAAGCAGATAATAACTTAAAATAGTAACAATTTAACTGGAGAAGGAGGTCATGGTGAAGAGTTCTGTTTCTTTCATCTGCACACCTCTATCTGGTATCTGAAGTTTATCCAGTTCTCTCTGGGAAAGGCCTTGGCAGGCCACAAGCAAAGGAGCTGAGAATCAGGAAAACTCTCATCCAGAGCCTGCTTTTCTGTCATCTGGCTAGGTGTCTTTGGTAGCTAAGCCTGAAGGTCATAGAGTTGGAAGGAGCATTTAGGCCACCAAGTCCAACCCTTTATTAAATGCCAAGGATAAAATTTAAAGCATCCCCAATAGATGCATGACTATTTTGTACATGAACACCTAGAGGGGAAGGTGAACCTCAGTGTTATTATTACTTCCCTCAGTAAATGGTTTCACGGTCAAACTATTCCTACCGCCTTCTAAGAAACTTAAAACGTATTACTCCACACCCTGCCCTCTGGAATATAAAGAACAGGTAAAGAAGTATTTGCTTTCTTTTGTGTGATATGCCTTCTGGAATTTAGAGGGTGCTGCTATATTCCTTTCTCACACCCACTCTTCTTTTCTCAAGACTGAGGACACCTAGCTCCTTCAGTCAGTTTTCTAGTCTTCTGATTATCTTTCTGAACCCCATCTCAGTTTCCTTCAATCTTTAAAGTGGAATGCCCAGAATCAGGCAAAATACCCAAAGAAGAATGAAATAGAATGATTGTAACCTATCACTTGAAAGCTATACTTTAGCTGAGGCAACCTAAAACTGCATTTGTCCTTTGGCTGTCGGTTCACACCACAGACTCCACATCCTACTGCGCAGGCAATATTAATAACAACATATGTATTTATTTCACTTATATGTCTCCAAATCAACCATAGACTCATGCTGCTTTATAACAAAAAGCAGCAATAAAAACAGTCAGAGAAAACAGAACTTAAGTTAAAATATCCACATTATAGTATAAAATTAAAATAGAACTAACCTACTTATCAAAAGGTAAAAAATGCACAACTATGATTAAAAAATACTAATTCTAATCCTACTTAAACACCATCTTCATTGTTAAAATCACCGTCAGTCAATTGCAAAAGGCAGCTTCCATCCTGCAATGATACCTTCATTTACTACCAACAAACATCCACATCTGTCTATTCCAACTCTTTGAAAAGCACTCAGTAAGTGGATAAAAATACCAAATCTAGACTAAACATCTGGCTATACAATGAACCAATCATAATAATTTACTTGGAACTGCATAAATTAAATTAACATTAAAAATTATTTTATTTGTTTTTTCTAAAGATAGCATCTTGGATCCTATTAAATTTCCACCATGGAGATGATTCCTCCATTCATAGAACATTCCTTCCAATTGAAAGGAAATAAATATTAACGGAGTTACCCAAATTGAGCATTTTAAGTATCTCAGACTAGAGCTAATATACCATAATTAGTCCTTGCTGGTTTCTATGGCAAAGATCCACTGAGTTAAAAAGCCTTTTTTCTTCTTCTTTTGCATATGGTCAGTGCAACATGGAGAATTTATCACTTGTATACCCAATCCAATTCCATTTAGGAATATTCTATAAAATCTTATCTTCTTCCAGGCGGCATCAAGCAGCAGCACAAGAGGCCTTGCGAATGCCACCAGCTGCCTCAATTGGGCACCCCTCATCAGCAGTGAGAGGAAGGAGGTGGCACAGATCAGCTGGCGTAGGGTGGGAGGCAGAATGTAGGGCAACCAAAGGGATTGGGATGTGGAGAGACAGTCAGGTCAGAAGAGCTGAAACGCACATTGTGCTTGCAAATGCAGGCAGGCTGCCAAGCACCCAAATTTTGATCACTTGACCACTGGGACACTGCAGATTTAACTTCAAGGACCAGCCGTAACTCCCATTTGTTCAACATCACTGTAACCTCAAATAGTTGCTGAATGAATGGTCATTAAGCAGAGACTATTTGTAGGTTGCTCTATTAATTCCCCCGCCCCCTTTCCTTTCCATTTTTAATTTAAATGATAACATTCAATATTTCAGAAACATTACTGACAGAAATAGAATGTTTTCCTCATTTTTATTTACGGAGAGGGTTATTTATGACTGGTTGGGAACACATGTGATTGTACATAGTAATTTTCTCCATAGCTCCATATGGCTTTTAAGTTCTTGAGTTATCTAGCAATGACTTTCACCCATTGCTAGAAAAAGAAACAAACCTAAAACAAGTCATGAGTTATTTTAGGTTTGTTTATCAGAGGAACATGATCAGAAGCCACTGCCAGAAAGCACCTTAAACTTTAAACCAACTTTTGGTGAGCTATATAGGGATTTGGAAGGTATCCAATGCATATGATCAAATCATGTTCACAACAATTCATAACTGTGCTTTAAGCATTTAATTTCCCTCCGAGTAGTAGCATGCTGCTATTTATCTTCTGTTCCCGCTCTTCAGTAAGTATTTTCATCACACATGTCTACATGGAAAGAACCACCACCTACCTTTTCTTTTAATCACTTCAAGTTCCTGTTCAATTTGCAAACAGACCGACTGTGTAAGTTCAAATGATATTTTTTGAAAAGCATCGAAATCTTCCACAGTGTAGACATGGGTCTCTGCAGGGGGACTAGCAATTGCTTCCAACTCAGACCGCACAGCATCCTTAATACCGACTGCAAATATCTCTACATTTGTGTTCCTCAGTTTTATGGCTGGATCTTTAAAAGCATCGGATGATTTTCCGTCCGTAATGAGAATCATGACTCTTGCAACATTTGGTCTTGCACCCTTGCTTGGGATGAGGACTTTTTCTCTTACGTAGGTCATAGCTTTGCCTGTGTTGGTAGATCCACCTCTGTAGGGGAAGGTGTTAATAGCTCGAATTACATCTTCAATTCTGTTGTATCTATTCAAAGGAAATTCCGTATATGGATCCCTGCTGTACTGCACAAGGCTTATTTGGACTTTTTCAGGTGAAATCTCGAAGCTTTTAACTAACACTTCTAAAAATGCCTTCACTTTAGCAAAATTGGCAATACCAATACTGTAGGAGCCATCAACCAAAAGCACAATATCGGCTTTTACATCTATTCCTTGTGCACATTCTGTAAAAAGAAATACAGGTATTTAGTATCGAAATAGCATTTTAGGGGTAAAAAAATGCAACATGTGTTTCTTTCGCCTGGCTTTTAACTGACAATATTGTTTTCTCTAGGTCTTTATAGATTGTATTCCATTAATATTATAATGCTACTGTAAATACATAGCTTTTGAGATGTGAACCACTTTTGATTTTTCTGGAAAGTAGCACTATATATATAGTGTCGCTGTTTGTTAGAAAGTAAGAACTCTAAAATTATCTGAAGTACAGGTGGTTCTCAACTTATGCCACAATTGGGACCAAAATTTCTGTTGCTAAGCATGGTCGTTGTTGAATGAGTCACACCCGATTTTACAACTCTTTTTGCCACAGTTGGTTAAGTGAATCACATGGAACTTCCACCACTGATTTTGCTTGTTACAGCTGGGAAGGTAAAATGGCGACCATGTGACCCCCAGGGTGCTGCAATGTCAGAAATGCAAGCCATTGGCCAAATGCTTGAATTTTGATCATGTGACCATGGGTACACTGTTATAACTCACTTTTTTTCAATAACTTCAGTAACTCTGAGCAGTCACTAAATGAATGATTTTGCATGACTTGGCCATTAACATATAATAGATCATTTCAATAATAATGACTCACCCATACGAACTTTCACTGGCTGTGTTTTTTCCATTACGGACACTGGTTCACTTGAAGTCAATCCTTTCATGGCATACACATTAATTTGGTATTCTGTGTCTGCTGAAAGATCTTTTATATTAAAAGCAGTAGTTTGTGGTCCTACATTCATTGAGAATTGTTTGGCATCAGCTTTCATTGGAATAATGTCCACCTTATAACCAGTTATGTCACTAGGAGATGGATCCCAAGTGATTTTGATAGATCTTGATGAGATTTGTGAGGCTGCCAGATTTGAAGGAGGTTCTAAAGCTGTAAAATGAGCAAAAATGCAGCCATAAATATGTTCTGATTAATGCTAAATATACCTACCCCCAAAATAGCCCATGGTTAAGTACTAGAGCAAATGATATCATTTTTCTAGTCAATCTGATTATAGAATTTATCTATGAGCTGAATGAAAATTACAATTAAATGTAGACTGACTTATGAATATTTATTGTCCTGTACAGATGGAAGGACATTGGAACATCATAGATGGTGGGGGGGGGAAAGTCAGTCTCTCTATATGTACTCAGAAGTTAGTGATGCTGAGTTCAGTGCAACTTATTCCCAAGAAAGCAATCCTGACTACTTAACACATCTTCATAAGAGTTCAATTAAATACAATGGGACTTAATTCTGAACATACATACATGGAACTGTAGTGTAAAAATAATAAGCTTTCACTGGTCTCTTTGTCTACATAATCAAAAGGAACCCTCCTTAGCTGATCATTAAGTTAATTGCTGCCACGTAGCTTTCTAAATGAGTATAAAGTTGGAAACTGAATTTACAAATCCCAGAAAGAAACAAAAAACTTCCAACTGGATATTTTCAGAGGAGTGATATTCATCCAGACTAATTTTTTTTTTGCTAGCTGACTGGCCTGAACACAATGGTATTGTATTCAAGGGTACCAGAAGCCAATGAGAGATCAAGTACAGCTACAATGGACACATTGCACCGATCCCATTTCTGACAGAAGTAATCCACAAGTGTGATCAATCCCAGTCTCATACCTAGGCTTGAAACCTAATTGAATGTGGTCCAGAAAATCTATACCCTCCAGGATTCTCTGTAACTGTAATGCAACCTCCTCAATTACCTTCCCTAAAAAAGGCTGGATACAGAACAAAAAGTATCCAATATGGTTGGGTTCGTTGATGGTTTCCTTCATGGCACTGTGGTCAAGAGGTCAACTGAAGAAACCAACCAACCTCTGAGCATGATAAATTAAGTTTCAAAACCAGTCAAGGAAAAATTAATCTGGGTTAATTTAAAATTATAGCTAATTAAGTGGTATGATTATTCCTACTGTATTCAATTATTTTTCCCTACAACAGGTAGCAAATATTATATAATTGTTATATATTTTAGAAACTTTACGCAGCCTTGGAGCCTCAAGCTCTACCTCACTGCTCTTTCAAAAGTGCTTTATGGTAGACCAAACCCTCATTGCCTTGTTAACCAGAAATATTAGTCATGAAAAAGAAAGTGATACTTTTGCTTTCCCATTATTACAGCTATATATTTATCTAAGGATGAAATTGATTACTGTGATTACTTCAAAAAAAATACCTTCTTCTCCGCTAACCAAGTCACCCAACTGTTCATCAACTCCCGAGCACACCTGTGAGACAATTTCATTCTGAATATCCGCAATGCCATCAAAGTTGGCCACATTAAAAACATGAGTCAATGAGGGCTGAGATGCCATTAACTTCAGCTCTTTGGCATCTGCAGCTTTGATTCCTAGAAAATGATAAGAGATAACAATACTAAACAAGTTTGTCCAATCATGTTGCATATAGCCATTCTTGTATTTGAGACTTTCCATAGCTAATGGTGATTGGGAATTCCAAGATAGGAAATCTGGCTTAACTTCCCACTTCTGTCTTTTTCCTACATTTATTTGTTTATAAAATTTATTTGCTGCCCATCTCATATCCAAATGACTCTGGGTGGCTATATTACTCTTGATATAATGAAAGTCTTCTAGATCAACTCTTCAAACTACCTGTCATTGCTAACGTACAATGTCCACTATTCTTATTTTCCCAATTTGACTGTATGATGATTTATACTGGGAGATGAAATAATCTCTTATTGCTTTCTCAGCCCACAGATTGTTAGATACAGCATGTTCTTCTCTTTATTGTACATGGGCATCCATAGCCATGAAGCAACAGGACTGTATTGTACTACCATTATACTAAATTTGTATAGTAGATAAAGGGAAGAACACAACTGCAGAAAAATACATTTTTGCATCTTGCGCAATAATGTTTAAACTATTTATTCAGCAAAGCAATGTTTTAAAACAGTCTACTTTTGTTGATATTACTGAAATTATATAACATAAATGTATTTGGACATTATTTTAATCTCTATAAAGTAACAATTTATGGTATAGCTGGCATTCTAACTTCAAGTTGTCCTTGAATCTAAGAACCTAATCAGTTATAATTTTCATGGGGGAAGTGTGTTTTTATAACAAGCAAAAGACACTGCTTTAAATTTTTCTCTGTGGATAAATTACAATAATCATCAATAACAATATAAAAGTAAACATACCCAAAGAAAAGACTTCAACTCCAGTGCTACGAAGTTCTCTTGCAGGAATTTCTACTTCATCCTGAGATTTTCCATCCGTAATGATAATTGCCACTTTGGGAAAGCCATTTCTTGCTCCAGCAGATGCCGTAAAAGCATTCCTAATCAGATAATCAATAGCTTCTCCTAAAATTAGAAAACAAATTGTGTTTTTTTAATCAAAACCATTAATGTTAAGATCAAATTCAAATTTATAAAGTCATAAAAGAGAGCACCACCCATGCAAAAAAATTAATGGCAGATATCTCGTGTTCATTGATGCTTTCTATGGCATCAGAGGGAAGTTCATACCTGTCATTGTATTGCCTCCTTTATATGGTATTCTTCTTATTGCCTCAATGAGATCTCTTTTTCTGAAATACTGATTTAAATTGAATTCAGTCCTTGTATCAGTGCTGTACTGGACTATTCCAACTCTTGTCTTCTCCTCTCCAATATCAAATGCTGATACAAGAGTAATGATGAAGTCCAATATGTATTTAAAGTTATTTCTGCCCACACTCCAAGAACCATCAACAAGAAAAACTAGATCTGTAACAGCACTAATGGAACATTCTGAAACATAATGGAACAGAATTATTAATTAACCCTCACATATACACTTATATATTCTAAGTGTTTAATTTATTTTGGGTCCATGCACATGAATCAGAAAACTAGAAGATATTTATGCATGTATCCATGCATCCCTTCAAGTCATTGTAGACTCCTGGTATCTATTTGCTGATCCCTGTTTTTCTTGGCAAGATTTTGGAAATAGTTTGCCATTGCCTGCTTCCGGTGGCTAAGGAAGAGTGACTGGCCCAAGGTCACCCAGGTGACTTTGTATGCAAGGCTAAAATACAAAGTCTCCCAGTTTCTTCCGGTGCATTAACTATTACACCAAACTGGCTATAGATAGAAGATAGCTAGATAGCAATATACATATATTCCAAATTTGTGTTTATGGAAAAAGTTTAATAATCCAGGAGAAGTTAAATCTTATTAATTTATCATGCTATTGGCAGCCAATTCTGGACTGCCTCCCGTGCTACTCTATATCAGCAGTCACCAACCAGTGGTCCGTGAGAAAATTTTGGTAGGCCACAGAGAAATCTCACCCCAGAGCACCCCCCCAAAGCTGTTAATCCAGGATGCGCAGAAACACAAGGCTGCGCCTCCCACATGGCCCGTGAGAACCCTCCCCGTCCATTCACTCCTTACCCGGCAAACTTGCCTGCTAAATTGCTATTTTCCTGACCATCAGCTGTTCTGCTGTGCCAGGAAATTTAGATTAAGAAACAGGAAATTGTTGGTTTTGTTGCTTTCTAGCTAGTCTTTGGATCTTTGGCTTTGCTTTTTTTTTTAAAACAAATTTTATTGATTACAAAACCAAAATATCAAACAAACACAACACACAAAAGAAGAAAAGAAATAGTGCTTTGCTTTTAAGCACAGCCGAACCTCCCTTAGGACTGAAGGTTCTATTAGGCAGTGCAGACTCACGGCAAGCAAATTTTATGTGACAGACTGAGCTAGCCGATGGCAGATAGATAGATCACTGAATGATTCTGTGAGAAACTCAATCTGCCTGCCTGCTTTGCCTGATTTTGGGTAAAAATTGCTCTTTTTTATATATAAAAATTCAATATTTACATACATGGTGTGTTGTTGAGTTAATTTTATGAGTTTGCTTGCAAGCAAATTTTATGTGACAGACTGAGCTAGCCAATGGCAGATAGATATCTGAATGAATCTGTGATTCTGTGAGCAACCTAATCTGTCTACCTGCTTTGCCTGGTTTTGGGTAAAAGTTGCTCTTTTTTATAAAAAAATTCAATATTTATATAAATATTTATAATATTTACATACAAGCCATGCCCAGCCAGTCACATGACCACCAAGCCACACCCACAAATTAGGCCACACCCACAGAACCAATTAGTGGTCCCTGGGATTTAAAATTATGAGTTTGGTGGTCCCTGAGGTCCAAAAGGTTGGCGACCCCTGCTCTATATCATTGATATTGACTGAATATCATTGTAACTAATGACTTTGAGCAGCTAACATCACATAAAAACACAATATCAAAATAAATATCAAAGTATATACAAGCCTAAAATATCAAAGTATGTACAAGCCTAAAATGGAAGCAGAAAACAAATCCATTCAACAATAAAGTAACAGCATCTCATGGGCTTTAGGCAATCCATCCGTTCCATACCCAGAATATAAAATTGTCATATTCATCTCATATGAATAAGGTAAAGAAAGTATATTTGAATGACTTTTTGAAATCGGAATCAGTTTCCACCCTGTTTATTGACAAAAGGGTTCCTCTGAATCAAATCTAAAATGGTTGGCATGACTCCTGAGTCAAACAAAAGTCTCACTGTTATTCAGAGTCTGGAGATTTTTAGATCAAAGGATAAATAAGGAGAAAGGGAAAATAATATATCTGAAAGTGTTGAAAGCATGGGCAACAAATAAAGTTCAGCTCCTTAGCTATTAAGAACAAGCACGAACCAAAGAATGAGGCATATAAATTTTATATACTGTAGAATTTGCCTGAGATGAAAAGGAATCTTCTGTTTTAGTCTTTTCCAATGTGATGCTTTCATATTCATTGGACTTTTAACTTCTGGATTTCCCAGGCAGAACAATGAGGATTATAAGAATTGAATAAAAGCATACCTAAAGGTCCTAGGATTTTTTAAAAAAATGCTTTTTCCCCAGCCAGTAAAAATGCATTGTGAAGAGTGAAAACACATTTGTGTATCTCTAGGGTTATGCTGGTTTAGAAATAGATGTTTTGTTTTGCCATATACCAGAAGCAGAAACATTACAAAATTACTTACTTTGCAAATTAATTTCTTCAGTCTTCTTTATTCCTGTTGTTACAAAGCCACCTGTTTGAACTAGAACAGAACAGAACACACAACTTAATAAAAAAGAAAGAAAAGAAAGAAATCGTCTCAGCAAAGGGTTGGTTTCCATTTATCTACTTTTTATGGATGTCTGAAACTGTAATGGGAGAATACAATGTTGAATAAACTGCAGATTATATACAAACAGTACTATTACAGAGCTCTGGTAACGCAGTGGTTAGAATACTGTATTGCAAACAAACTCTGCCCAGTCTGGAGTTTGATCCTGACTGGCTCAAGATTGATTCAGCCTCCCATTCTTCCCAGGTCAGTAAAATGGGAACTCAAATTGTTGGGGGCAATATGCAAATATTGTTTCTACATTGTAAACTGCCCAGAGCATGTGGTAAAGGGCTATGGGGTGGTATATAAGCTTAACCGCTATTGCTACTGCTACAAGTATCTCATGGATTTTTTGAAATCTACATTCAGCATATTTATTTGCTAATTAAAACAAATTAAGTCCAACCTTAAAAGATAGAAGTCAAACATCTACATATACAGTACTACATATGTAAGACACTCAGTGTTTCCTCGCATCTCAAGATGAATGTCATATAAATTTGACAAATGATAAATTATAGCAAATATTATCTTTTTAGCAGTATTGAAAATATATTCCAAACAACATCTGGGTCAATTTTGCAAACTTACTTGTAAGTTGTCCAGTGACAGGTAAACTTTCATCTATATTATCATATGAATTTATTGTTACAACATATTCAGTATCAGGTATGAGGTCTGTTAACAAAGTTTCAGTAGCCGTATGTGCTAAGGTAAATTCTCTACTTGAACCATCTGCAATTATACATAAAGAACATTTTCATAATCAGAACTTCTAAATCACATAATAACCATTTATTCAAAAATTATGTATCAATTATATATCAAGGAACAAATATACTTTGAGCATCATCAGATGTAAAAAGAAACAATGGACTTGTTAGCAAAAAAAAAAAAAAAAAAAGATTATCTAACTCATCCAGGAAAGGAAATAGTAGGGGATAGACAAGATTAACAAAAGAGGGGAAACTCCCCCTAAATGCATCCCATGTTATAACCTATTGCATGGGATTTGTCCATACAATACTGTGTGTTACAGACACTGTAGTATAATAGTTATAGTGTTGGATTTAAACTGGAGCAATTCAGATTCAAAGTCCCTACACAAAACCCACTGGATTTTGTCATTTGGATACAATGAGGGAAGGTCCCTATTGCCTTAGCAATCACAGATAAGGCAATATAAAAATGTAATAAATATATGCAGATAGTTATTGCAGATACACATGATAAACCAAGTATTGTGATAGAAATACTGTTCCTTTCATACTTGCATGAAGATGTCACATACAACTATATAAGGGGCAGAAGTGACCCTGTGACATCACAAGTTTTTTTTTCCTGTTTCTGAAATTTCAGTTTGCTGAAGTCACTTCTGACTCTATTGGCTTTTTCCTAATCAATTAAGGCTACAGTTCCATTCATGTTTACTAAAGCATAAAAGTCACTAAACTCAGGGCATTTTTCTGCTGCCTAGATCTGAATAAAATTGTAATGTAATTTTCAGGGCAATTTTTGACAAATTAAAGGTGTCCCATTTAATTTTTTCATGCTGTATTTAGACATTCTCAAAATCAACCAGGAAGAAAGAGACAATTCCACAAAAGCACATTAATTCAGAGTTCAATTTTTTTTTTCTAAAAAATAACATTAAATCTTACCAGCTGCAGACCTCACAGTTATCCGGTAACCTTCTATTGCATCAGATGGTTTTGCCCATGACATTTGAACAGTATTTTCATCTATAATTTTAAATTTCAAGTCTGAAGGTGGATTAACTGCAAAAGATTTATATCAAGCAAAGTGTGTTTAAATGTTGAAGAAAGTAATTTCGTAATAATTTTAAAATGTTAAGCAAAGCTTGCTAAGATATGTCTTTGCATAAATTTGTTTCCAACACATATAAAGGTATGCTGTTGGCAAAAGGGAGGTTGCAAGCCGATGAACATGACAAAACATATCAAAGAAAATATGCATCACAGAGGACAGCAACAGAACACTTGTTTCTTGAATTGTCAAATCATTCAAGAATGGCCAGCAGAATCAAGCACAATAGAAAACACATTTCAATACATGTACAATGATTTCACACATAATAATCACATATGCAAACGTTTTCACAAAACAATTAAAAGAACGTTCTTAACATGCTGGATGCAATTCATAAAAGCATGCCAAATCACAACCTGCTTATAACACCATGAGATCATTTGACGAGAACATAAAATCCCTTTCAACAGATCATCAAAGAATATATAACTCTTTGAAATTCATCTCTGCATATTTGTACTTCACTGAATCTTTAGAGGTAGTATGCAGAGATATGTGTATTGTGGAAAATGTGGTAAGATTTAAGTGGCTCTTTGCTCAATTTACATCAGACCTAAATATAACCCCTTATTTCCAAAAAGCCACCTAAGTAGCTTATCTTGTATACGCTGCTGATATGTGAAATGGGAAATAAGATGTTACTAAGAAAATATTTGATGTTTTCTGGCACAGTTGAATGTATTGGTACACAAAACTAAGTTTTCTGACTGTTTACACCACTCTGCTATACCAATCCTGCGGTGTAAACCATCCTTACCATTTTTATGCTCTGTGTGTAGCAGGTGTTCCCATACTGAGAAATGGCATTTTAAAATAAAATGCCAGTATGGTATTTCACACAACAATTGTTAATTATGGAAAGACAACATCAAGATATATGTATAGACATTTATTTACAGGATGTAGAGAGGAAAACAAGGAAAAAGGCATCAGTGATCCAAACAAATGATTATGTATCAATCTGTGGGAACCAGCAAGAAAATGAACTGAATGTAGTATAGAAAGAAATAGTTTCCAAATGCTATCTAGCAGCATCATGCATTTGTATTTTTATCTATCTATAGACAGATATATAGGTGTATGATATGATATCCATCTATCTATATATAGATATATGAAAGTCAATTTTATTATTTTAATTTACTGTAGCTTCCATAGTGGGCAAAAGCCTCCATGTACAAGGATCATTGCCAAAGACATTACATAATAATATTTTATAATGATATTCTCATGTTAATTCAGTCATGCAAAATCATGCAGTCCTCTACGGATTCACTGTCAGTGCATGGTATGCGTACTACAAAAAGATAAGTTTTAACTACTGTACATAAGGTTTAATAAAGGCATATGAGATTCAGTCATACTTTTCTTGACATTTCAGATTGATTGGCAAACACCAATCAATATTGAGATATTGATTATAGCTATATATCAGGATTTTCTTGAAAGATGTCCACCTCTGCAAAATTAAAAATGTTTTTTTAAACTATTTAACAGTGGACTACTTAGAAATCAATAAATAAATGTTAAATATTGCTATAGTAACAATCATATTAATATAGCTCTGTTGATTGTAAGGGCACGGTGCTTTGCAAGTGATTAACTCTTTAAAAACTAAATAAAAGTTTAATGCACTTGTGAGTTGGCCATTTCAAGGTTTTTAAAATACTGTCTGCTTCTTAATAAATTGCCATTTCCAATGAGATAGGATTACATGGCTTGGCATTGATGCTACCACAAGTAATAGTAGTACAAGAACAAATGTTATTTTTCTCCTATTGTCCATACACAGGCAGTGAGATTAGAATATTAATCTGCATGCACAACTGATTCTTCATTCAACTTAAAGCACTCATACTAATGCCCCCCCCCCCCACAAAAATCAATTAGGTGGTATCTAGCTCATGCAACACGTGTTAATAATAACATTAACATTTTAAAGAATACCATTATAAAATATTCTTTCCACACCAATGGCTCAGGACAAATTTAATGCAAAGGCAGAGACAAATGACCTGAGCATGCTTTTTCTTTTTTTAAAAATGAGTACATGGGAAAAAAAATAGCACCACCAACCTTGAAGGAAATTTGACCTGAAGCAGCAGAGGCCTTAGGCTGTAACTGCTGAAGGACAGCAGCAGCCTATCTTGATGTGATCCAATGACCGGATTCCAGATAAACTGAAAAAGGCCAACTGTAGGGAAAAGTCTTCAACATTTTAAAAAATCTGTAACCCGATTTACAAAAAAACTCAAATGTGGCAATTAGCCTTTAATTACGAACGTCACTTCTCTCTCATATGAGATTATCTGGTTATTTGCTATAAAGGAAACAGCACAACTTTTCCATAGAACTTCATAAGAAATGCATTTCAGGTTTCTAAATATGAAAACACACACTTCCACAATAATCAAATTCTACCTGTGGCAAGTTCAAAATAAATAGAAGTCCAAACACTGAATCAAGGGCGACTTACATCTAAGCTAAGCATACAGAAGACTTTTTGTAAGTTCACTCCCATTGAATTAAATGCCTATTGTTTTCCTGTAATGGGTGAGCTTTAGAATGTAAATCCTGGATCCAAAGAATCATGCATCTTATTTAGTTATCCAAGACTTTGGGGATATTCCTTCCAAAACAAATTTGCTTATCCACTGCACAAACTGCTTTTTAAACTAAATGTTTATAAAGCAAATTTCCCTGACAGGGCATGGATATTTTCTATATATAAAGAAAAAACTTGTACAAATCCCACTTAGCATGCACAAGTCCTTGGTTATACATAAACTAATTCTTTGGATCTTAGGCTGTCTCACAATCACAATAACACGGTGATTAAAGAAAGCTGTTTTCAGAATTGTGCAAGAAAACAAGACCTGCTCAATAAAAGGTAGTACACTTAAGCTTCCATTTTGATTATATTGTTCCCAGTGACATGAAATTTTCAAGTATTTCCTATGTGTCTATCTCAACAATGAAAGCTAAATTTTATCACAATTGTATCACAAGGGATATCTTGCGTGTGTGTGTTTGTGTATGATTATAAATCATTATATACAGCATCCAGAATATTACACCACAAATTAAAAATGTGTGTGTCGGTGTATTTGTGGAATTATCACTATCTATTACTACTTCAACCAAAATAAAAGACCTAACAGTTATTTTGTAACCTATTCACACAATTGTTTTAGCATAACTAAAAAGAAAATAGATTATATTTTTAGATTGCCTATCTGCAATTGTTTTGATAAATAAATGCAATTGAATAAGAGGTTAACAGATTTAACATTTTAATTCAACAGTAATCAATAGCTGCTTTTTAAGTAGTCTTCACAAAGTGGATAGCAAGGTTCAAAAATAATATAACAGGAGAGTAGATTCAAATTGTAAATTTTACTCCCATGACACAAAAGTTCAGCGGACTATACTTATTGTTTTATGTATTTATGTTAATTTGATATTTCTTAGCATTTTATTATATATGGGATTGTAACATTTTAGTATATTTCAAAATATATTTTATTGCTTTCATTAGGTACTTCTCATTAAAATTAAAACTAATTGGAATGTGTCACACTGGCAGGATATGTAGATCGGATATATTCATATCCATTGCTAGTCTCTGGCTCATTTCTCAGTATATTTAAATTTGAAGTTTGAGCTATAGTAATGGAAGTACATATTAAGGGAAAAAAGCAGTCCTAATTGTCATGACTTGGGGCAACCCCTGAAAACTATCTTTTATTTAAAGACTTTTGTTTAAAAGTAAAAATAGAGGAGAAAAAAACCTGACTATCATTCATAAAAGAGTTTCAGGCGATATAAAAATCAATGGGACATAAAACACATGCTTAGATGAGGCTTTCTTGTAATTGTTTCTGCCTAAAAGTGGTGTTCCTTCCAGGTGTTTCATGAAAACTACTCAGAGAAAATAATCAAAATCATCTTACTATACCAAGAACTAAAGTCCTGCAGTCATAAATGACAAAAAGTACAATCAAATTAGAAATCCGGAAATCAGAAATTATGTATTATATTATTAAGGCAGCAAACCACCAATAAAGATGTGTGGTTTGTAATATTGTTCTTTTGGAAAGTTGCCAGATTTTTCTTTCCAGTATTTGGGACGAAGGCAGACAAAACAAGAGATACGGCAGTGGCACCAAGATTGTGATATATTATAACCAAATCTTTTACAAATGAAATATGAGAAATGAGGATGGAGCAGCAGTAATTCAAGAGAGAACCATTTAGAACATGATTTAATATGTAGAAAAATGTAAAATGAAAACATCCACTTTAAAACATCCATAGAGAAAGATAATTATAGTGTTGCAAACTTTAATTTGTAAAATTAAGAATATCTTCACTAAATTCTTCAAAAGACTATTTATTAAAAAAAAATAGTTACTAGTGCTGAGTACATGCTATGTTGGTTTGACTACATGTAGGCATGTTGAGCGAAGGGTCAACTTTATTCCTAACATTCTCTTCAGCCCCATCCTCAGACAAATCAGGATTCTGAATTTCTAGGGCAGGGTAAACTTGGCAACTTTAACCAGCATAGATGTCAATTCTCAGAATTCCTGGGCCATTCCCCATGTTGACTGGGGAATTCTGGAAATTGAGGGCCACATGCCTTACAATTTGTAAGTTGGGAAGCCCTGAAGTAGAGGGATAAAACTGATTCCCTACAATTTTCAAACTTTCTCTACACTCCAAACAGGATGCAGCCATACATGATTGTCATGTAGCTATCATCTTATTCATTTTCTCTGTTTGATTATAATCCCAATGAAGTAATACATCAGAACAGCTGATCTTTGGTCTTTCCATTATCTTTATTAATAAATCCATTTCTGGGTTGTATTTGTTCATATTTTAAGTGAATTGTCTCTTGAGAATGTTCCACATAGGGGAAATATAGTCTCCCCATATACAGGAATCAAAGACATCAGTGAGAAGCTAGATTTGGGAATTTCACCCATTCTTTCATTTGTTCATTCATTCATTGTTCAAGAGATTGATAAACTGGTAAGGTCCTTATCTTCAGTCTAAATTGATATAGCTCACACTTGAGTGTTGTTTTTTACAGAATTATCAGAACTTCAGTGTGACTAAGAAACAATGAGTATTGTTTGGGACTATGTAACTAAAGAAAATAGAGGAGTAGTAATTAAAATGAAGTCTCCTCCAAGCTGAACTCAACTTTTGTGACTTCCCATGTAGAAATTAGTAAATCGTATTTGCTAAATGTTCTGAGTTGCATAGGTTACTGTAGGATACAAATCCCACTTAGCCCATGAAAATGTAACTGAGGAGGCCACTGAAGAAAATGATCAGAATCATCCTACTTAATGAAATCCTCAGAAAAATACCATTTTGAAGCCCATCCCAATTAGCCTGCATTAGTTCTTCATAGCATTCTTCAAAGCAGTCAGAACATAGTAATGTATGCCTACCACAGCCTATCAAAGATACTTAAAAAGAATAATGGTTTAAAACCAATTGTCAGAATTTATCGATATTCTTCAAACAATATTTGATACATTGAAGAAAAGGCCAAGGTGTTTTCTGATTTTTATTTTTGCTTTTGGGGCCTTCACTTGTTTAGTGATTCTAAGCCAGTGGCCCTTTCAGCTTAACCTCCAGCCAGGTGAGCAACAGCTCCATTCTGAAAAATAAATTTGGAAATCATTATTGACCATGGCTACTATCTAAATTTTCTCTTCCTTTTGTGTTAGGAGGGTTTGAGAGGTTCCCTATACAGGTGAAACTCGTAAAATTAGAATATCGTGCAAAAGTTCATTTATTTCAGTAATGCAACTTAAAAGGTGAAACTAATATATGAGATAGACTCATTACATGCAAAGCAAGATAGTTCAAGCCGTGATGTGTCATAATTGAGATTATGGCTTACAGCTCATGAAAACCCCAAATCCACAATCTCAGAAAATTAGAATATTGTGAAAAGGTTCAATATTCTAGGCTCAAAGTGTCCCACTCTAATCAGCTAATTAAGCCATAACATCTGCAAAGGGTTCCTGAGCCTTTAAATGGTCTCTCAGTCTGGTTCAGTAGGAATCACAATCATGGGAAAGACTGCTGACCTGACAGTTGTGCAGAAACTCTATAAGGAGGGAAAGCCTCAAAAGGTAATTGCCAAAGAAGTTGGATGTTCCCAAAGTGCTGTATCAAAGCACATTAATAGAAAGTTATGCGGAAGGGAAAAGTGTGGAAGAAAAAGGTGCACAAGCAGCAGGGATGACCGCAGCCTGGAGAGGACTGTCAGGAAAAGGCCATTCAAAAGTGTTGGGGACTTTCACAAGGAGTGGACTGAGGCTGGAGTCAGTGCATCAAGAGCCACCACACACAGACGGATCCTGGACATGGGCTTCAAATGTCGTATTCCTCTTGTCAAGCCGCTCCTGAACAACAAACGTCAGAAGCGTCTTACCTGGGCTAAAGAAAAACAGACCTGGTCTGTAGCTCAGTGGTCCAAAGTCCCCTTTTCTGATGAGAGCAACTTTTGCATCTCATTTGGAAACCAAAGTCTGGAGGAAGAATGGAGAGGCACACACTGCAAGATGCTTGAAGTCCAGTGTGAAGTTTCCACAGTCTGTGTTGATTTGGGGAGCCATGTCATCTGCTGGTGTTGGTCCATTGTACTTCATTAAGTCCAGGGTCAACACAGCCGTCTACCAGATTTTGGAGCACTACATGCTTCCTTCCGCAGATGAGCTTTATGGGGATGCTGACTGCATTTTCCAGAAGGACTTGGCTCCTGCCCACACTGCCAAAAGCTCCAAAACCTGGTTCAATGACCGTGGGATTATTGTGCTTAATTGGCCAGCAAACTTGCCTGACCTGAACCCCATAGAGAATCTAGGGGGCATTGCCAAGAGAAAGATGAGAGACATGAGACCGAACAATGCAGAAGAGCTAAAGGCCGCTATTGAAGCATCCTGGTCTTCCATAACACCTCAGCAGTGCCACAGGCTGATAGCTTCCATGCCACACCACATTGAGGCAGTAATTGCTGCAAAAGGGGCCCAAACCAAGTACATATGCATGCTTACACTTTTCAGAGGTCTGATATTGTTCTATGTACAATCCTTGTTTTATTGATTGCATGTAATATTCTAATTTTCTGAGATTGTGGATTTGGGGTTTTCATGAGCTGTAAGCCATAATCATCTCAATTATGACACTTCCCGGCTTGAACTACCTTGTTTTGCATGTAAATGACTCTATCTCATATATTAGTTTCACCTTTTAAGTTGCATTACTGAAATAAATGAACTTTTGCACGATATTCTAATTTTTCGAGTTTCACCTATAATTCCTTTGCAGAACCCAAAGCTGGCTCTGTATCAGGATCAATGGGATGTAACCTCATTTCATATTACACAGGTAACTCTTTGAAAGTGTTTTAGAAATGATACTTAATGGATTTAATAATTTAATCTGAGGCCATTTTGGGGAAAAAATTGAAATGACATTTACAAGTCACATTTTTTCTCACCTATTCAATTTTAAATGTCTCCTTTAAAAGACTTGCAAGCAAAGAAATTGCTCTGCAGTTTTTCACAGATTTTCATTTAAATCTGTACCAGTGTCTATAGTGGTTTTGTTTTTTGGGATTTCCAGGATTGTTTTTGGTTTTTCTTATAATAAAAACAGAAGCTAGCAAAAAAATTGGAAATGATTTATGATTATGCATATAAAGAAAAGTATAAGTCCTGTCAGTTTCTGCAGGCAGCAATTTGAGAAAGGTAGCCACAAGTAAAAATCAAGCCACAAGTAAAAATCAAGCCACACGTCTGTCCATCATTTAAGAGGATATTTGGTTAGGAATTATGACATGGGTTTCTTTTACAGAACTACCATATTCATTCTGTGGGAGGTACAGACAGGTTCATTTTGTGCTCTTGCCTGAAGGTGAAGGGCAACAGGATGGGGAAGGCTTCTCTAATTTGCAAGTGCTAATTTACATAATTCTTTTCATTGAAGTTGAAGAGTCAATTGGCATTGTGAATGTTGCAGATGAGGGCTGTCAAACTCGCAGCCCACAGGCCAGATACGTCACATGATGGTCACGCCCATGCCTGGTTTAACAAATGGGGGGAAAAGTCATGATACATCACGTGACAATGTCATGACGACACGAGTTTGACGGCTCTGCTGCAGATGGTGCTGCAGCTTAGAGGTATGTCTTCTTCAATAACTTATCTATTCTCACAGAAACACAAACAAGGGATTTAAAATACCAGGCTGGAGATGAACAGTGAACTACATTTATGATAACAAATGATAAACCAATGTCTTGCAGTGCCTTTGAACCGAAGGACTAGATTCTGCAGGCTTTTTCAATGTACTAGTAAAGACCACTCAAGATAACTGGGGTTCTGAAACTTGTTGAATGCTACTGCTCCATCCTTAAACATTAATAATGCAATAATGTATACAGCAGTATTAAGGAATCTAATACTTAACTATTAGATTCACAAATCACTCCTTCCAAAATAATACATCTGCTTGCAATAAATTGAATGTAAAAGGAAAAAAGGTGAGAAATTTAAATAGCAAATTCTTAAATAAAATAATGGGGACAATGCAGCAAACAGGGCTAGACATAATGAGCTGACGAGTTGATTTCCAAAATTAAGAGATAATGAAAAGAAAGGCCAACAATAGAAGAACAGATACTGGGTAAAATATTGTGTATTACTCTATAGAACTATGAGCTAATTTGCTGCCTTCCCATGGATAAAACAGCAAGAGCAAATTTGTTCCTTGCCACATGGTGTTAATTAGAAGCATTACTTCCCCAACATATAAGAACAATATATACTTACACAATACAAATCAAGAGCTCCATCCAAATCATTATCTCTTTTCATGTACAAAAAGGTCAGAGCAGTGCAATGACAAATTTGGCAATCCAACATTTTCAAGGAAAAATGAGATGGTTGGAGAACAGCTGAAATAGCAAAATGTCCTTGTTTTGCCACTACTTCTCCAACCCTAGAAAAGGTTTTGCCAGGTGTATGTTTAAGTAGTAAAGTGATAAGAAGAAGGCATTACATATGAAGTAGATGAGAAAGTATATTTAATTTGTATGATTAAAAGGAGGGGGCGGGGCGAGAAATCTATTGTACAGTGTTTCCAAATGGTTAATCCAACGTGCTGACTGAGACTCAGTCTGTGTGGGAGCCCAAGCAGGAAAGTTTTGAGTGTCCCAAGGGACCCTGGTGTTGCTCCAAAAACAGGAGCCAGGCTTGCTCATTCCTTGCTCTGTCCCAAATGAACTGACTCACTGAGAAGAGGACTTTCCTTCCCCTTCCCTTCCAAACAAAACACACAGGCAGCCAGATTTTTGTTGGAGTGCTTTATTTTATAAATGCTTCAAAATAATACTTAAAAAAAAAAAGCAGACACATGTAACTTGTATATATATTTGCAGTACAAAGCAGAGCAATTAAGCATTGAGAGGGTGTGGACAAGTGCTTCGGGGCTTCTCCTACTACTAAGGAGAAGTTTCAAGTTGGCACAGGAATCTTCCTTCTCTCTAATCACCCTTCAAAAGAAAGGTGGAGAGAAAAGGAACAGCAGTGGAGGGCCAAGATCACAATGGAGATCGAGTGTGGACAGCACACCAGAAAGACAACAAAACAAAGGAAAGAGAAGAGCAACTCTGCTGAAGTTGCTCTATAGAAATAAACGAACTACGGAAAGAAAGAGAACAGAAAGGAGAGAGGATGATATGAAACAAGTCACCCCCAGAGAGCAACTGTTGCTTTGTTTAATTCTGCACCATCACTTTCATGGAATAAAAAGGACAGAGTTATTTACCTTGAGCCTCAATTGAACGAAGGAGGAGAATGGCACATAGGACAGCTACAGCTGTTGCACAGAGCCTTATCTTCATGGCTGCTGCTGTATATCACAACCACATGAATAATTCTAAAAAAGGAAAAGAAAAAATAAGAGACTTAGTACAGTGGGGGTTTTTTCCTAAGCAGGCGGAGTGGAGAAGGGAGAAAATCATATAGCAAGGAGGGACAGAAAGTTCAAGATCAGCTTTCACCAATTTGTGCACTCCAGTTTGGTAGGAACTTCCTTCGTTCCCCTTACTCTACTCAGGTCTGTCAGAATAGAAAAGAATGTTTTACATCACTTTCTCCACCATAGTCAACTTTCCTTTCCAGCAAAAAAAATCTTCCTTTCCCCCTCTTCTTGCACCAAGTCAGAATTTTTTGATGAAGAACTTTCCCACTCTCTCCAAACTCCAAAACTCATCGCTGCTTGCTGTTCCAGATCTAGGAATAAATTGACAAATATATAGATACACAGATAGCTCTTTCTCACCAACCATCCATTCAGCAACTGTTCAGTTACAACAGTGCTGAAAAATATCAACCAGACAATATTCCTGCAATCACATGATTTGGGTGTTTGGCAACCGTTGTACTCTATCTATCTATCTACCTTCCTACCTACCTACCTGATCATGTTTTTTGATTGCCCATCTCCCTCTCCCATTTATGATGGTCTCGGCTTCCCAGTCATATGATCAGGATCTGTGATCTTCACAGCCAGCTTCCTACAAGCGAAGTCAGTGGGGAAACCAGCACGAAGTCACAAGTCATGATCATGTGACATGTTGCTTGGCAATCATGGATGGTTTGGAGGATGAGTTAACAAACATCTGTAAATGACACTGTAAGTTGGTACATTCGCGTCACATTTCACTTTACAACTGTGTTGCTTAGCAATGAAGTTGCCAATTCCAACTGCAGTCAGTAAGTGGACTTCTTCAGAAGAAATGATGAACTGAAAACAGTTTCATTAAAAGCAGAGCCAATAATCACAAAGGAATAAAGAGCCAGTGAGTAGACTGGCTTTTTGGATTTCCTCTCCAGACAAGAGAACCTTGGATTGCCCACAAGCACCCCAGACAGCTACTCCTCATGAGGAGACCACAAGATAGAGATATCTAGCCTCTAAAAGGACATTGGATTTACATATTTCCTTTTCTAATCACTTTCAGAAATTGGTTGTTAACTGTTTTTTAGCTATTAGGAAACTTTGAATCAAGAATGTAAATTCTGGGTGAGCAGGTTTTCTTTCAGCAAAAGAAGTTTTAAATATGAGTTTAATTGACTTGAAAAACCTTTTTTGGAACAAAAAGCAAAATGGTGATTAGAATTTTGATTTAAGAAGTTACAAATGGACTAAGAGTATGAATGGATTTGAAATAAAATTTGATAATTATTATAAGAATCCTTCATATGTAAAAATGCTTTTGTTTTTAATATTTTTTTAAAAAAATGATAGGATAGGATTTGAAAAGTTAAGAGAAAACTAGAAGGAATTAAAGATTACAATTAAAGGAGAAGAACATTTAACTTTATAACTAGTAGATTTGACTTACTAAATACAGTATGGAGCAAAATAACATTGGATGATATTTTTGAACAATGGACTGAGAAGTTAATTTTAAGAGTATCTGCCTTTATGGACAGATTCTGTTTCAAAAAATATCACAGAAGAGGAACAAGGATTACTGGATAAAATCTGAGAGGGATCTGAAAATGGATTTTAAACCAAAATGATTACAATAACGATAAAGAAAAATATATTACACTGGGCATACATAAGAAACCAATATCTGATATCTTAATAATTAGAAGGGATAAACAACTAACAACCCAAGACAGTGACCTGGATAATCTTCCTATACTGGATTTATAAAAGGGGTGTGTTAAATGTTTACTTTAAACTTTTTTGAACTTTGTGAGAAGGTGAAAAGAAAATGGAAAAAAAACAGTTCTAGAACATTATTTAAATCGGCTAAAGATCAAGATTATTAAAAAAATAAAAAGGAGGAATCTAAAGTTGGTTTATTTGATCAAGATAAAATAAATTGTTATCTCTGGTAACACTTTATGGAATTTTGCTGACATCAGGACTGAAATGATGAAGCTTGAAGAAGTGCTTATAGATAAGAGATGGGATATGGGAAAAATATCATTTGTTTTATTTTAAGAGAAGATGATATGTATTGTTTATACTTGTGATGAAGAGGGAAGTCATTTCATATATTTCTTTTCTTTTCTTTACTATATACAGTATTTATTTTTATTTTCTGCATCTATTTTTTCTTTTTACCCTTTTATCTTTTGAGTTGGTAGTAGTTTTCTGTCACTGTAATTGTAAGTTTCAATGAAAATCATTAGTAAACCAATTGCTGTCAGTAAGTGAGGAATACCTGTGCTATAATGAGCTTTATGGAGTAAGATAATGGCAGCAAAGCAATGCAGTTATAGGAGTCTTTTAAATTAATGCGTAATTCACCATGTGTTTCTTTAAATATCATCACCAGTTAATGAAGGAAACAAATCAGTCCACAGTTGCCTATCTTAAATGTTGTTCCAAGATGCCTTGCATAACTAGCTTCAGTGTGTGGCCGATTGTACAATGAGTAGCCTCACCCTTCAAAATTGCCTGGCAAATCTCCTATCTTCTCCTAAGTGCACTGAGCTAATATATACAACATTCTGAAATTGCAGTAAACGGGCAGAGGCCTCCATCCTCTCCATGAAGAGACATCATCCTCTTCTTTTTCCAGGAGTGGATAGAATCTCTGCCCACTAACTGTAATCCTGGAGAATCCTCAAATCCATACAGTTCTATTTCAATAAATACATAGAATATTAAAAAATAAGAACAGGCATTACATATTACCCTGGAACAAATTACTTACAAATGTAATTCAGTCCAAAATTAGCCATGCCAATCATTAACCAGGACTTCACATGACTGACTCGGTTTTTCAAAGTTTTTTCTGACAGTTGTAAAGCAAACACTGTGGTCATTAAACCTACTGTTTGCAATAGGCATTTTTTTGCAGGAAATCAGAAATAAACAATCAATGTCAATTGGGAAGGGAGGGACATAAATCATGGTCACATAAATGTGCCAAACCACAAATGGCCATAAATGCAGGCCAGTTGCCAAGTGCCAAAAAATGTGACCACATTATTGTGAAGGGGTGGGCAAACATCCAGGTTGCAATCACCTTTTTGAATCCAGGTTGCAATTACTTTTGTAACTTTGAACAATTGGTAAGTGACTGGTCTTATTAAGCATGGACTAATCATAATCTATAATAAAACTGGCAACTCTCTTTCCTGCATGACCATCGGTATTTTTTTTTAAAGTTCTAGTGCATTTAAAATTCTGCATTTTACACGTGCACAGCGATAGTAGAAGAATGATGAACAATTCAAGCAGAAAGGGAAGGCATTTCTCCCTCTTTGTGCTCCTGTCCACCATGCTACCCTTGAGAAAATACAGGCATGAGCTCCAGGGATGGTAATGATGAAGATCCTTTGCAAGAGAAAAGCTTCTGGTGCTGTGGTTCGCGACCCCTTTGGGGGCCGGACGACCCTTTCACAGGGGTCGCCTAAGACCATTGGAAAACACATATTTTCGATGGTCTTAGGAACTGAGCCATAATTTTATGGTTGGGGTCACCACAACGTGAGGAACTGTATTAAAGGGTCACGGCATTAGGAAGGTTGAGAACCACTGTTCTAGTGCCTCTTTCAACTGGGAGTTGACTTCTTTTTCACAACTGTTAAAGCAGTTAGTTAAGGATAACCTTTGAAAGACTGACAGTAGTTTGGAAAGGGTAATAGAAATTGCTCACCCTTCTTGCTACTCTTCTGCCTCTTTACTCCCACTCCTCCCTGCTTCCTAAAATCTGAAACAAATTATACACAAGGGGATGTAACATATCCTTGAAACCTGACACCGACACTGAACAGCCCCAGACTCAACCAGATCATTTTCTTCACATACACCCAGAGAAAGAACAACTCCAAAATAAAAGATGAATGGTGGGGAGGAGGCAGCCCATTACATCATCAGGCCAGAAATATGCCATAGCCTGTAAACCTTTAAACTGACATCTCTTCTGAAGTCAGCAATCCTTCTAATTATTTTTTAGCTGTCTGACAGAACAATCTATTGGTAATGCTAAGGCACTAAATTTCAAGTGAACTCTAGAACAACCTTCTAGAATACTGCATCTTTAGAAATCTCAAAATACATCTTTTACTAATAAATGTAATAGGGTTTGAGGGCTTTATAGATATGGATCAAAGTATACGCCTGGGTTCTATTAAAACATCCTAACATAAAGGAAAAACAAGATGGATACTTAAGGCATTGTTTCTTTAATTCAGTCATGGGGGAAAAATAACGTTCACAACTAGAAAACATATGCCAATGTGTGAGATTTACATAATTTAACCCAAGTTGTAGAATTCAGTATTATGAACTTAAATAGTTTGCACTGTGAATTAAGATTTTTAAATCTTCTACTCTTTTTACGGACACTCCATTTTTAACCATTGTCTGATCTAGATTAAATAGCAATCAATACTTGTCAAAAATTAGTAGAGTAGAAAAGGCAAATTTGGCGCATCAGAGAGATTTAGTAATTCTAATTGCGACAGCTATCTAGGTGAGTTTTTAAAAATATACTTCTGCTCAACAGTCTTGGGCTACAATCTAACATAGATTTGGACAGCCTTAATTTGTATGACTAGATTATGAATGCTTATTGGAGAGTAAGTTCCATACGTATCAACGGATTTTATTTCTGAAAAATTAATAGGCTAATGTAGTTAGCTTTTCCCCAAGATTGTGACCTTCCTTTTTGACAATGATTCAAGTATTTTTGACAAGGATAGTCAAATCTAATGAATGTTAATTATTGTTGAGTACTGGGTGAGCTTCAGACTGTGTTCTATCTCAAAAGATAGAAATAGTAGCGCCATTTGGATGTAAATATTACCTAGTTAAGTGTGTTTATTTGGGGTGCCTTCGATCAGTGTTGGCTCTGGGCAACTACCTGGACAAGTCCCTGCACTTTTTTTGGCAAGATTTCAGAAGTGTTTGCCCTTGCCTGCTTCTTATAACTGAGAAAGGGGGACTGGCCCAAAATCACACAGCTGATTTTTTACACCTGTCAGAACTAGAATTCAGAGTCTCTTGATTTCAAGCCTGACACAATAACCACAGCACAAAATTGGCTCTTTAAACTGAAGCTGAGACTTTCATATTGTTAATTTAGGAAATTAACCTGTGTTCTAGAATTTAATTGATTTTTTTTAACATTCTCTGGCTTGTGCTCTTATTCATTAAGCAGTACACATATTAATCATCAGACCAATACCACACCCAAACTACCCAAAGCCAAGCAGTTGGCATAAATCATTTAGCGATTACCACTTGAAGGGAAGAAATAGCTTCATGCTGTATAAAGAAAATTGAAGAAGAATGAAAAAACAGCATTGTATTAAATCGCCCAACCAAACTGGCACAATTCACCAATACTTTGCTGGATCCGAGCCAAGAGCTGACATTCCAGAGGAAGCAGACACACATCATCTTTTTAAGTGCCAAGATGAAATGCTCTGTCAACAGTTCCATTTCCATATTACACGCACACATTTCTAAGGATAATATATAATGACTTTGGTACAAAACCAGACGATCAGCCAGTTTACTATTTTGGATCCATCACTATCACTTATGCACACAAAAAGACAGAGACAGACAGACACAAATGCCGAGACGCTCGCACACTTAAACAGCGGGCGGAAAAATCGACTTCGCATTTTTGCTTAAAAAATACATTTAAAGGAAAGGAGAATCTACGCGTCTGACGAAGACGTGTTTCCAGGCTTCGAGCGCCCTCTCTCGGACAAACCCTTCGCAAAGACCAAACAAAACCAAGGAAGAAAGACGCTGAAGAATACTTTAATTTTTTCTCCCGGTTACTTTCCTCCTGGACCTTTCACCCACAGAGTATATACACCTCTACCTCGTACCCAAACAACGGATTTTTTTTAAAATGCTTCTGCTTTCCGTTGCAAATTTTTTTGAATGATCTTTCTTTTGGAAACGGGGACGGCATAGTTCTGGTTTCGCAGCGCCACTCAAACAAAAGCAGACCTCGCTGATTGATCAACGCATTTTGGGGGCAATAAAAAATGCGTCAATAAACATACATGGCATAAAATCCAAAGCCAAATACAATAAACGTGCTACTTTGCTCCAAAGCCAAACGACTGGGCACCACGAGAAATTTACATATAAGGAGCTGTTGCACCGCTCGGGGGGCGGCGGGAGTGGGGGGGGGAGGACCGAACGAGAGGCAAGAGAAAGAAGCAGCTCTTTAGGAAATACAGCGCGGAGAAGAAAATTGAATTTACAGGAAAATAATTACTGCCGCACAACACACACCAACCGGTCAAACGAATAAAACGAAGTAGAGGAAAGTGACATCATATCTGAACTCTCTCTCTGGAAATGAATTAATCCAGAGCTTCTGCATGAAATTACAGGCAATCGCCAAAGGAGACTTAGGCAGCACCAGCGGGAGAAAGCAACCCGTTCAAGGCAGACTTCTCAAAAAGCCAAACGGAAAAGACGGCGGGAGTCTTTGGGAGAAAACACCTCATACGGGAAGACACCCGCCTTTATTCTCGCCACCCGTTCCTGATATAGTCCGCGGCTCTTGCGGGGGTGGGGGGGTGGAAAGCAAAGGCAATAAAATGCCTATGACTCCCCGGGGTTGTTCGGTCCGAACGCGCTCCTCAAACAGACACCAGCAATGCACTTGGCGCGCCTTAACCTGAAATGCCGGATTCCCATTTCTAAAACGAACGTCAACCGCAGGAGACCCGCAAGCGGGCAAATCTTCCTCACGCGTAGGCTCGACCCGTTTGCAAATCTCGACCGCACGCGCCAAGCGTGTGTGTAGGCGCGCGTGGGTCGCGTCCACACGCCCTAGCAGGTTTGCTTGGGGCTGCCCAGAAGGGACTTGCCAGCGGATGGAGAGACGGCATTCCCCGACTCCGCCGGGCGCACAGACCTTATAAGAAGGCGGCGATGGCACTAAGCAGGGATGGATGGCAGCTGCCCGAGGAGGAGCTCTGCAACTGCCGCTTTTGGAGAGGCCAGGAACCAGGAGAGTTCCAAGCACCTTGGGCTAAGGCGCGGCCAGTAGCAGCAGCAGCGGCTGTGGTTGAGAGGAGCCGCCTCGCTCGGTCGGCTTGGCGAGGCTGCGGCTACGATGGGGTCGCTCCGTCAGGGAAGCCTTGCCTTCACCAAGTGGGAAGAGCCTCTCCCCAATCTTGCTACTTAATAGAGGGCTGTTCCCAAGTCTCCGCGGTTACGAAACGGCGGGAAAGGTGGATCGGTGCCATGGGATGATCTATGACTGTGCTCTCTCTTCGCTCCTTTCCAGCGGGGCTAAGGGAAGCGCCGGTCTTCGCCTTCTGGAAAGTTGCGCATACCTCTCCGCATTCCTGAGGCATGAGGAGGCCCGCTCGAGCGCAGGAATTGCCTGGCCCGCCATGGAAGGTCGAGCTGGCGGGGGCGGGGGGGCCGCAGAGAGAGAGAGAGAGGAATGAGCGCGGAGAGGGGGGCAGCGTCTGGCCAGCCAAAAACACACGTAGCCCTCTGGCTCTTCTCTGCTCCCGAGCCAAGCGGCAGCCGGCGCGGCAGTCCCTTGGCCGAGACCGTTGCCAGACAGACAGGGAGCCCCAAGGCGAAGATGTTTCGGTGGTACCCAGGACGGCGTGTGCTGAGGGCCGTTGGGTTTCTGCTGGGGAAAGCCTCCGGGTTGTTTTTTTTGTTTTTTGTTTTGCTGGACAAATACTCGATTGGGGGATAGCTCAAATGGCGCCTTTTAAGGCGAAAAAAAAAAAAAAAAAAAAACTAGTTTGAAACATTTTTCCGAAATCGGAACCCATAATCACGCGCGCACGCTTTCTGCAAACTCCAAAATCTTACTGGCGATTCGGAAATTAAAATCCATGGGGGGGGGGGGGGGGGGGGACGAAGCTAATGTTCCATCTTTGCCTTGATACTGAAAAGAGCCCCCAAATCATACAAGGCATGGTAGAAATCCTTCGATGAGCAATTAAACGCCCAGAAGACCTAGTAACTAGGAAACGTGGCTTTCCTGTTCTTGGGATTTCATCTTTCCCTCCTTCCCATCCTTTGCCCCCCCCCCCCCCCCCCCACACACACTGGAATTTCTATCCGGTTCCCACACCACCCACTCATGTCTAGGCGCAAACGCTACTAACGCGCTTTCTTCCAACATTTTACTCAAGAGTACAGATTCCCGCACGTTTACAAAGAACGGAGGTGAGATCTCGGATCAAATCCTCAGGGAGGTTCATTGAAGGGCATGGGGTGGGAGGTGGTGGGAAGACAACAGCCATAGCCGGCGCATTTGATTTTACAGGGAGAGTCTGGACTCTGGACCAAGGTAGGCCGCGAGGTGGTTCCCGTGCCCGCCGCGCATATCCTCCTCGTCAGCACGTGGCTCGAAGAGGAATTAAGCGGGAAAAGCAGAGGCCGGTGCTTGAGAGACGGAAAAACTTTTCCAGATTTACGGTTCAGCTCGATGGCCGCATCGATTGCCGTTGGTTGCCAATACGCGCGAAATTTATTTATCAGAAAATTTATTTATCAGAAAAGACTAATAAAAAAAAGTCGTATCATGTGGAAGCAATCGATTCGGAAATTCTATTGGTTACAATAAGTGCGCTGCATAACGGGACTGCGGTCTTTGCCTAAGGAAATGCAAAGACGTGCAAATCTAACGCAGGCTTAAGAGTTCTCGGCAGCGTCCAAAGGTCGGTATATATATATGCGTTTCCTGTCAATGCACCCAGTACTGCCGCACCCATGCAAGAAAAGTATCTCTTTTCAATTCACTCCCGTCCCGTTGACAGTTAATACTAGTACTAACGCAAACACAAGTGGGAAACACTAGTACCGACTCCCCAAAAGTACTACTAAGCAGCCACGGAAGACAACGAGATGCGAAAGAAAAGCCCAGCCGTTCGATGTATTTGAAAAGCACTCCGCCCTGGTAGAATTGCCTCCAGCACCAATAGGGGCCTTTGAAAGAGTCGAGGTGGAATACCTGGATGTAGAGATTCCTCTTCCCCACTTTTAAGCGGTTTTACTCAAACTGCTAACTGCCGCTGCACTTGGATTGCAACTCTTGGAATTCCTAATCGTGCTAAGGAGTTGCAGTTCAATGCACAGGGAAAGGTGGTTCTGAGGTTGCCTGGAAGTGTTGATGCTAAAGCGTTTTGGCAATCCAGTCACAACAATACCTCCTAATTTAGCTGGACTTACTTATTTCTTGCTAAGATACGACACAGCATCCTAGTAGAGGGCGATGGTCATTGCAAAGGAATGTCACTAAGGGCGTTTGGACAGAGAGGCACTCATATAACGAGTAGCCCCAATTCATTACATTTTGAAGCAAGACAAGACACACGGCCAATATCAAATCACAACGTGTTTTTTTTTTAAAGGTTGGACAACCATTTTTTTTTCCGGGATAGCGTAAGTACTTCTCTGCCTTGAGCAGGGGGTTGGACTAGAAGACCTCCAAGGTCCCTTCCCGCACTATATGATTCTATGAACACTTAGACAAACTGCAGGACTACGTTCAAGAACAATCAATCGGCGGGTAATCGCCATCGCTAATCCCCCGTGCAAAAACATCACGATTAAAGCATTTAGCCGTTCTGGTTCGAATTACGGTTAGAGCAATTGGGGTTTGCGCAATACCTTCGTAGGCACTTCCTAGGTATCGGAACACACACACCCCACCGCACTTCTCCGCCAAGGCTGTGAACGTGTGCGCGCTCACACAATCGGCTTCCACCCAGTCACAAAAAGACGGTACGATGGCCGAGAACAAATCCGACAGCTTGCTACCCCGCCCAGATTGTGGGGAAAGAGGAACATTTCCACGTTCTCCGGTTAGCCAGAAAGAAATGTAGGGGGGGGGGGCGTCACACCAATAATGGCTCCCCCCCCCCACCCCTATCAAACCCTGCCCCTTTTTTTTTTTTTAAACCGACCGGGAGATCTGACCATCAACCCCTTACCTCTGCTTCTCCCACCCTCCCATCCCCGGCCGCCTTATCAACAGCGCATTCAACAGCTGGTCTCCAGGAAGTCGGGCGAGTCCTTCAGTCTGGTCCAAAGGCGGCGCGCCCCAAGAGAGCCCTCCCCCCCCATAGGCGCCCCTCCCTTACCTGCTTGGGATGACAGAACTTCCAAGGCGCGCGGCGAAAATCAGCTGAAGTTCCGTTCTTAATACGGTCCTCGCTCCTTTAACCCCTCCCTCCCCCGGGATAAGAGACTCCTTGCCCGAAGGCTTGGCGGGGATGCGTATCAATCCAGCCACGCAAGGCAAATGAACGCCTGCAGCTAAACCCACAGTGGTTAGGAGAGGGAACGGGGGGCAGAATAGTTTGCAGGGGGGGATGTGTGTGTAAAACGGGTGGGTGGGGATGGAGAGAGGGGTAAAGAAAGAAAAAGCCACCCTCGTCCCTTCACGAGTGGCCCTCTTGCCTAGACATTCACAGAACCGACGTACATGATGGCCCACGCCCCTCCGAGTACTAGATCCTCGGCGCCGCTTCTGGGCTTTAGCTGCGCTGGCACCTGGAGATGGTCAGTCCCAGCCGCGCTCCTGCATCTTCCGAGCGGTGGGCTTATGGGCTTCAGCCTCAGAAACAGCCCGCCCGCAGGAGAACAAAAGGTCCCAGCTTCCCTGCACGGCTATATCCAGGGAACTCTCGTAGCTAAGCACGCGTTTTCTTGCTCCATTCTTCCCACCATTCAGAAGGGTTTCTTTCTAACCCTCCTCTGCGCGACCTTTCCACAAAAGAATTGGAGTAGGAGGGTGTAGGAAATTCGTGCAAGGGTAATTTGTTGTCCAATTGCGCACCCTAGCGCTAATAATTGCTATTGCATTCATCCATTCATTTTTGTGCATTGAATTAGGAAATTGAAATAATAATAACAACAATCGTACATTTTAAGAAGATACTTGGTTGATATCTAAGATGCTGGCAGCAATCCGTATCAACCATCAGCACCAGTCAATGATATTTGTGATACACTTTTAAATGTTAAGTTGACTGAGTTTCATGTTTAATGAATAAAAGAGACAACAGTAACAATAACAAATAATAATAACAAATAATAAATAAATAAATAAATAATAATAATAATAATAATAATAATAATAATAATAATAATAATAATAATAATAATAATAATAATAATAATAATAGGGATCTGTTCGCATGATCCGCTGATACATCACGCAGTCCTAAACACTTGGGCAGTGTTCGACTAGTGATTTGTGATACGAAACCCAGCATAGTCATCTCGTTTGCTGTGTACACTGTTGTTTTTTGTGTATAATTTATAATAATAATAATAACAACATTGACATTGCAATACCTGGTGATGCACGAATTGAAGACAAGCAGCAAGAACAAAAAATCACAAAGTACCGGGACTTACAAATTGAAGTTGAGCAACTTTGGAAAAAGAAATTGTGTGTTAATCCAATTGTAATTGGAGCCCTTGGAGCAATACCTAAAAGGGCTACTTCGTTATTTGGAAATTCTGAATTTATCAAACTTGCATACCCTGATTCTACAAAAAAACCACCCTACTTGGAACAGCTTATATCCTCCGACGCTACCTTAACAGCTCCTAGGTCCTTGGTTAGGACTCGAGCTGTTGAGCTACCAACCAGCCCAAAATGCTGTCAATCTCACCAAAGATTAACAACAACAACAACAATAATAATACATTTTTTTCATAATATGGCATATTAGTATATTTTTATTATCTGATAGTTGTGAAAACAACAGCTAAGAAGTGCTTTTTGATAGCACTTCGATACATTGATGTTCTTGATACATTAGGGCTAAGTGAAATTGCCAGAAAGAAATACATATATTAATAAAAAGAACAGTTGTAGAGGGACGATACAACATGTATAACTGTGTGTGCCAGAGCTCCAGACTGTCCAACATCTACCTGGCTGTGCATATTTGGACAAACTGTTTCACCTATTAGAATATGGGCCACTCACCACTTCCTAAGAGGTCTAAAGTCATCCTTGTCCCATTCCTAGCCCAGTAATAAAAGACTTCACACACGTTTTCCACGGTTATCATGGAAAAGGCTTGACGAACTGTATGGTGCTTCTGAGGACGTAGAAGCAACACTCTTGGATAGCCACAACAGTTTTCC